GTGCATTCCTCCAAACAGATTTTTTTATTATATGAGGGCAATGCATGCATGGAACAGGGCACTTTCATGGTCTTCATCTCATGTTGTGTTCAACTGTTGCCTTTTATACTGGTTCTACATGGTGGCAGCAAACCCTTGAAATGCCTGAAACCATCCTAGTACCTCAAGAAGGTCTACCCTCCGAAACTGATGAAAACTTACTTGTTTAGATTCATCTCGTCTATTTTTAGAATTTACAACATAATAAAGAGTAAGCCCCGTGCAAACGGACGCAACATTGCTGGATATTTTCTGTTGCGTCCGTTTGCACACCCTGTTGCATGTTGTTGGGAGTTCATTGGCACAAAGTTTGAAACTGGTCAAACTTTTAGCTACGCGCAAACGGAGGCAACAACTCCCAACATTTTTGGGGCAACAAAGTTGGGAGTTGTTGCATCCATTTGCACGTATAGCTTTACAATCAACCTATCGGTCAAATACTTTATCGACCTATATGTTTTATTTGCTTACACACGTAAAACCCCCAACGAGGAGTTCTCTAGCAAATGATTATGTTAACATTGAAACAGCACATTAGAAATTAATTTAATGACAGAGTTTATCATAGGCGTACGGGAAATTTTTTGCCAGGGGGGTGGGGGGGTGGTAAACGATTTACCTAAAACATATCACAAGTTCCCCAAATTTTTACGAAAGAGTCGAAAAGAAATGAGGGCCATATGGCAACAACATAGGCCGTCCTGGCATATGAAGGTGGCTCGATACAGTTTTTCAGGGTCAATACCAAGTCTGAGCATAAACTACGTCGCCATAAACAAACATTTGGAAAAATTGCGACCACAGTTGTATTAAGATGAAAATTTGTCATCACCAGGGTTGCAATGACATCGGAGTTGTCATAGCAACGAAATGACTCCATTACTTATTTTACTTCAGCAGTGATTCTCGGGACGGGAACCTTACAAAATCGTTCACAGGAGCTTTTTTCTCCAATACGGTGGCCTCGATGTTCGTGAAGTTTAAGCAAAACCTTAAGAGCATTATCGAGATATTTTGCAATGAAGTGTTTATTATTAGAAATACGGTAAGAAAAGGAAAATCTTGATTTTTGGCCGTTATCTGCAGAAAACGAAGTGCTTTTGACCTGCAATTTCACCTCATAGTAGTTTTAATTTTTTTAAAAACATGTGTGAAAGATAGTGGAGATAGCTCTGCTTGATTGCTAGAATCGAAAGAAGGATTTGATTAGTATGTATCGAGACACTCTTGTTAGCGGTTTTGAAAACATTTCGGTCTACTTTAACAAATTAGCGAATAATTTTAAACCGCTCGATAGATTTTTTAAACGAACTAAGATTCTTCTCGTAATTCAAACTGAGAATTATATTTAGTCAGCCACTTCTTCATTTTCATACCCATTGTAGCCTGCGTAGCAAGCGTTTCCAGTCGAACTTGCGCGGAAACGCTTGCTATGCAGGCAATACCCATTGCTAAATGCTATCTGCCATACACTGTTCGTCGAGTGGAGATGATTCTAGAAAGTTGTGCGAAAGTTTATTTTAATCAATTCTCGACTGGAAATAGCCCATTCCAGCTAGTGCAGTGCAGTATAGTGCCCAACCAAAAAAACTGCAAGTGTGTAAATTACTCATCACATGCTAAGCAACCACCGTAATGTAACTGAATTGTTACGCCGACTTCAGGTTAATATTCAGGTCTTTAAAATAATAAAATAAAATGAAGACGTCTTTATAAACTGGCTTTGCCCAAATTTTCTCTAGCTGCCCAAAAAATCTGAGTTGCCCAAAATTTGGGGGGGCGGCAGCCCCCCTCGCCCCCCCGGCCCGTACGCCTATGAAGTTTATCAAAAGTTTTAATTAAAGTATAACAACTTTTGATAACCTTTGTCGTCAAAAAACGGGTGTAAGTGTTACCGTTTTTCTGAGTCTGAGTTATTGATATTTTGATTTTACACCAGTGCAATTGAGTTTCAAAAGTGATCTGCAATTGGTTTTGTTTTACTTCGCTTCAGAATCTCTGTAATTGGTCCAGACAACTCGCACTACCCAGTGCGGTTCCTAGGAATCCTCCTTTTCTATGCCTTGGTGGAGAAAGCTACGATTTTGGAAATGGTTTTTGATACAATTCTTTAAAAAATACACCACAATTTGACCAAACGACTTGTAAGCCTGTGCTTAAGGGATAAGCGCCTGCTGCCATTCCCTTAAGGAAACAGATCATTCAAAACTAGAACTAGCCACCACGTGATCATTAAGGTTTTGTCGCATCTCAAGGAGTTTGCTTGGTTTTGCTTTTAGGGATTACTGACTCTTTGAGATCCTTTCCTTTCCTCTGACTGACTTGATTTTTGTTTTATGACACAAGAAACTCCGATGACACTCAATCAAATGGCACTCAATTCAGCACAGCTGTACCAGTAATACTAAGAAATATTCAGTAAAGCTTATGAATGCAAAAAATACTCCTTAATTACTGAGTATTCAAAATGTCTCCCTTTATTATTAATTATGATGAATGAAAAAAAGAAAAACAATTAACCAATGTTAAGGAGGTGATTAAATACAGATCGAATAAATGATTAAAAGTTCAGCCAAGCCATAGATAAAAAAAAAACCTACTTCTATCCGATAACATATATTCAAAATGTCTCACTCTAGTCTTAAATGCTTTATTCAGAATAGCAAAAATCAATGAATTACGAGCTTCAACAACACACAAAAAAAGATTAAACAAGTCAAAAAGTCTACGGAAACAAAAATACCACCATGACTTAAATATCTCCATCTAGACTAAAATACATTACTATGAACTTAATGAAACTCCCTTTTTCTGTCAGTTTCCCCTTTCTTCTTCAGCTAACAATTCACTTTTAATGCTATACAACCTTATTGCATCTTCAATGTGGTTAAGATAATTTGTTGTTCTAAGTGATAAGTGTTTTAAGGGAAAACGAGTAAGAGTTTTTAAAAACTCTTGCTCGTGTTTGTCCTCAAAACGGTTAAAAGCTTGTGATCACGAGGAGAGGGACATGGGGGCTTACGGTATAGAGAGGAGAAGTGTGACGTCACGTTATCATGGTAGCACTATTTCTGGATGACAACAAAACCAACGACGACGGCGACACCAAGGAGAACAGCAAAAAATAATATGTTTATATTTACAAACAACAACTTTGCACGTGCGTCATGCTATTTTGTACATTTCTTTGCCGTCGTTGCACCACTACGACATGAAACTTCTTAATTTCACGAGCTCGCTTTATGGAGTAGGTGAACACAACACAAAAATTGTCGCTTTCTTTTTCTAAACTTAGATAACGATAGATACGGTCCCAAAGAAAATTTCGCCAAGATTTGCCAAATTAAATGAGATTAAATAAGGTCGGTGAAGTTTGAAATAGTGCGAATAGACGTTTAAGTGACTTTATCGGTTTGTTGTCATCCAAAAATTTTGCTACCATGGCAACGTGACGTAACGACTTTTCCTCTCTATTGCGGTGTTGAGCTTTTTTTCAAGCGGTATTTCGGTAATTTTGATCTTAAAGCGCGGTATTGCGGTATCATTTACCCCTGTCGTATGCGGTTTTCCACCCTTTTGGCTAACGGTATTCGGTAAAAGAAGATCGTTCACGGTATTGCGGTACTGTTCATTGCGCTCTCCTGCCTAATGCACGTCAGTGTTTTTTAGACTTTTCACTAAAGGTTAATGATTACACAATTTCTGACAGTTAATCTATGATGAAATTGGTAGGGCATCCTTTTCGATCGTTGTACCGATCAAAAATGCGGCATCGGTATTTCGTCGATCGACACGGTATTTCGGTATTTGCCAATTTTTGTTACGGTATTGGATACCCCCCCCCCCTCCCCCAATGTCCCCCTCCATAAGGCGCTCAAACAAAGTGTCAATACGTGTGGTTGAGGAGAACTTTACATTGTCCTTCCTGCTTACAAATTGGCATTACCGTGGGGATGATCCTACCTTCCTGCCTACTAGCTGGCGTTAACTACTGTAGCGTGTGTAATACGTTAATTTATTGGCTTGCGTTAAAATAATACGAAATACTAAAGCAAATGTTTCAAATCATCAGAATTCAAATCATCTGTTTAGTCAAAAACTGATTAGTCCATGAAATGCTCTGAAAATTCTTTGCTGTTTAGCAAACTTTCATATAAAGTGTTTAAGTCGAAGGCGTTACGATGGCAACAGAGCTGGCAGTAACACAGTCTGGATGCGATTATTTGCAATCATATTTTTCTTTAGGAGAAAAATACCTGTTCCATGGTTCTGGCAAGTTTCAGAAACACGAGTGGAATTTTTAAAGTTCAAGAAACGCAGCGAAAGCAGGAGCCTCGTATCCTCAAGTTTCTTCAGAGCTCTTTCTTGTCATCTCAAACTTTTACGAGACATTACTAGTTATGTGATTTTGTGTAGGTACAGAAGTACAGCTTTTGGCCCGCATATTGCCATTGACTGTTCTCTAATCATTAATTCACGCCGGGTCAGCTGTCGCGATTTTTCGTGTCACTTAATTGAAGCCAAGGAACTACTTTTACAGCTTTTATCCGTTTGAGCCCAAAGTTTGTAAGATGGTAGAACTTTGTATTCTAAACAATCGTACGTTTTTTGCTTTTCGATTTTAACGGTTTTTGGCGGGAAAATGACGTCAAATGATTTTCTCATTTGCTTCTATCCCGTCGTGCTCGTTAAAAATAAGCTTTTTGTTACGTCAATTGTTGAAGTTTAAATTTTGCTCTCAACCATGTGACCGAATTTTGCCGCCAAAAACCGTTAAAATCGAAAAACAAAATACATGCGAATGTTTGGAGTTCTACTGACTTGAAAACTTTGGGCTCAAACGGATGAAAACTGTAAAAGTAGTTCCTTGGCTTTAAATGACCCAAAAGTCGCGACAGCTGACCCGGCGTGCTTTAGTTGATAACTATAGCTGCTGAGAATGCTGACCTTTCCTTTGGCAGTTAGTTGTTCATTCTATATGAGTACGGTTTTTCGTAGCTCAGCTCAAGGTTTCCACACTTAATTTTCTCAATCTCTGGGGGTGGTTCTAACTTTTTTTGCTCCTCTGAGGCTTCATTAACGATCAGTGCCATTCCCTCAAGCTGGTGCCCCTCTATGTGGCAGTGAAGAAACCAATGGCCAGGATTATCGGATATGAAATTGATGATAACGTATCCTCCGGCAGGGACTGTAACTGTGTCCTTCCTCACCGTATTTCGATTTATAGAAAACTGCGGTGGCTCGCTCGCCCACCTTGGTCTGGTACAGCTCTTATTGTTGCAACCACCATTTGTGCAATTAACATCATCACAGAAAATATCTTTGTTGTTCTCTTTGACAAAACCATTGGTTTGGTTATACTCTGGATATCCAACATAAACAACATGAAATGAATGGCCATGAAGGTGAATTGGATGAGAATGGATGTTACGGCCAATATTTGACAACACGAATTGAACAGTTTTATTATATGGAATGTCAATCATGTAGACACACGAGCAATCGATTGTCGATGGATTGCAATCAGCACTGGGGTCACAAATTTTGGAGTTGTTGAGAAAATCTTGATTTTGCGTTTGGGGTGGAAAGGAGGGAAGGATGAAATTGCGCCCATTCACTGAACTAGTAGTAGAGGCACCCTCAAAATTAAAGTTGATGAAATGCGTACAATTTCGGCAACTCGCGTCAGGGTATGCATTTGGAAGTTCGTTGTCTGGAGTTGGCTCGAGTAAACTAAAGTTTTGAACGTTAAAACAGGTAATGTTATAGGAGCGATGGAATTTCTCAAATGGACAGTTCACCGCTATGCATTGATTGTCTTTGGAGCACTGACGGGCTGGAGACTCATTTTTTATACTTTCATATTCTGTGGACGGTACATTATCATCCGGATTTTCCGAGTCTGTTTCTTCTTTGTAGTGCAGAATAGCCTCTGCCACATGATTTAGTGTCGGATAGGGTGGCCCTCCCGCGGTTTTATTTATCTCCAGCGTCTCTGCACGTATCCAGTAGTCTTTTACTTTTTCTGTTGCATTTAGTAGAAAGTCATACCTCTCTCCGGTTTGGATAATGATGTAGTCAACGTTATCTATGGGATTAATCCAATAGCCGTCTGTGGCCACCACAGTCAGTTTATGACCATCAATGGAGAAGTTGTAAGCGTACGTTTCTTGGGCTCCAATCAGCCTGAAGCGATATGTCTTGCTGGGCTCAACAGTAAATATACTCAGTCTTGTTTTATTGTATGGAACATCAGCATGCCTTCCTTTGCCATTTATGATTCCAGAAAAATACGGGATAGCGCCAGCGAATCCGTTATCAAAACTTGATGTGGGCCTCAATTTGTTGTAACTTGGAGTTGGTACCTCGCCAATCGGCTTGTCTTCATAAAAACCACCAGCTTTAAACTGTGTGAACAGATCCAAGGATGCCTGATTTTGCCATTCGATAAGCGTTAAGGTATGCTGATCTGGAAGGTCCTGAACTTCAAGGTTTATAATCCGAGTGATATTTTTTTTTTCTTTAACTATAAGACCACCGAATAAGCCATCTGTTCTTTGAGTGCCACTGTGAGAGTGGTACCAAAACGTCCCAGGAGGACTAGCCTTATACTGGTATGAAAAGCTAGATGAGGGTCCTATCTGACATTGAGTTACTTGCCCCACGCCATCCATATAAGGTGATTCTCTCTGGTGTATCCCATGCCAGTGAACGGAAATACCTTCAGTGGTAAGATTGTTGTGAACATGAACTATAACAATTTGCCCCTCGTGAACAATCAAAGTAGGTCCAGGAATTTGTCCGTTGACGGCAATTGCCATGCGGTACGTTTTACCATCTACAAACTGGGGGCTAGTGCAATTCGCATTGTTCAGTGTTGTACATTGTGCCCTAGGGTCACCCAGAGGCAGAGGTATTCCACTTTCATTGATATAATAACCCACTCCTTCGAAGCCACGCGTAGCTATTCCCGTAGGTTCATTTACGAATAACTTTTGATAACTGGTGAAGGTTTGAATTTCGTCAATTTCAAGGTTGAATATACAAACATCTGCCTCTTCCTTGCATTCACAACTTGAATTGCCATACTCACAATAGAGAGTTTCTAAAACGCTGTTGTTGTTGTTGTTGTTGTTATTGTTGTTGTTGTTGTTGTTGTTGTTATTGTTATGTTCAAACAGGGGCCCTTTTTGAGGCCCATGATTGTGTCCAAACGGGGACCCTCTTTGATTCCCAGGAAGGAGTCCAAACGGGAGCCCTCTTCGATTTCTTGACGGCTCCCTGCCGATCATTGCCTCAACCTTTACATTGTTGATGAACGCTATTAAGAGAGAATATAGAAAAAGCATTTAGTTGCGTAGCTTAACACGTAAGAACTTGTTTTGTTGAAGTCAAACGCCAAAACTTACCTTTATTGGTACCTTATTTCACGGGTCTTTAATTTCTCGTTTTCCCGATTGCAAAAAAATCGCGAAAATAAGGACCCGCGAAAATAAATCCTCGCGAAATTTAAGCACGCGAAATTAAATGCTCATGTAGAAAATTCAAATCACAGGAAAAAAATATATTAACTTGAAATAGCAACGTCATATACGGGATATGTATCGACAATATAACTTGTTAACTGGTTATACTGGTAAGCTTCGTTTTATATATTCAGAGTGAAACGAGGTTAATTTGTAAAGATTTCACACATTGCAGTTTACAGGTTTAACTAGAAATTTGAGAATGCTTAAATCGCGAAATTTAATGTCCTTTTCTCATATTTGCGCGTTGAAATCGCGAAAATAATACCTCGCGAAATACTCTCTCGCCAAAATCGCGAAATTAGGTAGCAAAAGCTCACTTACTAGTCGCACCGCGCCATTATTTAGCCAACTTAAAGTCCGTGACATATATAGCATCAATACTTTTCTGTTGCTACTTTTTAAAAAATCTCAGAATTGTCTCATTGATAGTCATTCTGTCGCTTATTAAGTTTTATGTTTTCAATATACTCTGTTCTCAAGCAGGTAATTACTGAGTAATCTAGCTTAAAGAAGCCTATGAATATATAGCCTCCCACGCAGACCACGCAGTTCTTAGAGCTTCTCAGAGGTTCGTCTCACGTCCCTGTGGCTAATGAATATGAGCCCTCAGTTAGGATTCGTTAGGCTTCCTTGTCACATTAACTTTCCTTTAACAATTTATTTAACAGCTTTTGCTTAACGTGCTTAATGTTTGTACGTTTTGTGAGTGACTAAATAAATAAATAAACAAAAAATAAACTTACCTGGACTGTCGTGTTCAGCGACTCGTGGTTCTTCCTTTCGCTTAAAGGGAACAGCTGAAAAAGACGTAATGATTTTATAAGCTCAGCTCCTGCAAGTTAGGACATTTTTAAATTGCGTTTTGCAATAACTACAACCAGTTGCAAAAGTACTTGAGACACTGTACCGTATTTTGGCATAAATGGCCTGTCCATGATCTTGTGCTTGTGATCCCCCCTCCACCCCTTATCAAAGTTGCTAGCAATACAAGACCATACTCAAAACTTGGAGGAACAACTTTGAATGGGAGGGAGGAGGGAGGTCAGTATTATATTTTACAGACCTGTGACCAGGAGCGATTTGAAGCAAGAAAGGTCGTTTTCCCGTGGGAGTGTCTTAACATTTTTGCAACTGGTTGTCTGAGTCCTTCATACCCCTATAGCCGTGATGCACGATAATTAAACGGGGTAAAACGTGGTGCACTCTTAGCACCCAAGGAGGTGGTTATAAAAAACAGTTTTTCATTTTTTTAGGTTTGCCTGTTTAAAAATGGCGAGACAAAAACGGTAGTTGTTGGCCCTATTGTTTATTTGGTAATATGCAAGAAATTGGGCTTTTAAAGGAAGCACGTGGCAAAAGATACCACACCATCTTAACTAAGCTGCAACGAAAGGGGTTTTTGGTCGTAAAACGCTACAGAGATGCGAAAAATAATATATTTTCTTCGAACTCGGTTAAAAGATGTTTATTTATGGGAGGAAAGTGACGTAAGATGCCCCGCTAGATCAAGGAGATAGCTTTTTGTTGTTGTTTCTGATAAGTACGTGGACGTGGTTCCTCTTTTATCGCTTGCCATTTACAGGAAAGAAAAGTTACGCTAAAAAGCAGCTGTTGTCGACTTTACTTTACTTAACACAAGTTTGGATTTGCGTTTACTCTTTGGTCGTCTTACAACTTTGTTTCGCTTTTGAAGCCCGAGTGTGGCTAGGCATCAGATAATGAAAATTCACGCGCGTATTCCAGTAACGTAGTCGCGAGAGCTCGCATATAACGTGACTTTGTAGTTCTGTTCTTGGTAAGGAAATTTATTTCTTTGCAAAAAGGAAGACACTATCCCCAAGAAAAGCAATTTTCCAGCACAGCAATGTCAGGAATTCACGTGCTTCAACGGTCTACACGGTCTACACGGTCTACCATCATATGAGATAAATATAATAATATATTCTATTTCTTACTGTTGCAGAATGGTAGACCGTGGATGATGGTAGACCGTCAGAAAATAGAAATTAACATAGCATACAACTTTTTCTGCTCTCTAGCTCTAACGGACTTTAATAACCATCTTATTTTCGCCGTAGTAGATGAAAAAAACTGAACGGTTTTACTTGAACAGCGATGTTGAACAATACGTCACGCGGTATATCGATTACATAACGCCATTGCATATCAAATGTCATTGCGTTACAGATACAGGGGTGAAAATGAAGGTTTGGTAGCTTTATTCACAACTATAGTATCTCTAAATACCAAGAAAAGGAAAATTATGCTGTGATTATGCATTCGCGCTTCTCTGAGTTTAATGACAACGCCGAAACTTTAAGCTATGTCACTGTAGATAACAGCGCATGCGTTACAACAAAACTGAGGTAAAATTTGCAAGTCACTACATTCTTAAGCGCTTTTTTAGGCAGTTTGCTATCAATGACAATGATGTATCGGCTGGGAAAAGCAACACAAAGTGCCATTGTATTTATTTATGTCGCTATAGTCTTCGTTTTGGGAATTTAAGACGTGGAAATCTCTTGTTGAAGTAAACCTTAAATGAGACTCTAGATCCATACACAGAGGGTCTAAGCATCCAACAAGTGTCTTTTTATGGCAACCATTTTGGAAACACTGATGTGTGTGTATGTGTATGTGTGTATGTGTGTTGTATGTATGTGTGTGTGTGTGTGTGTGTGTGTGTGTGTGTGTGTGTGTGTGTGTGAGAGGTCTAGAGCAAACTGTTGATAGAGACTGAATATAACCGAAATTTCTATCGCTGCCAGACTCACGTAAAACTTGTTTTGAAAGCCGGACTGTTTTTAAAAAGGTCGCTCTAAACCTCACGGCTAGAATTAAGTTTATGTTCCTGTCAGTTTCCGGCCGCTATGTGGGCTGCCCATCCGGATAGGCACCAACATGGCGTCTCCATACAAAGCTCTATAAATTTGGGCAAATCAGTTTTTCCGAATATCTCGCATAAAAAAAATTGCACTGTCCTAAATCTTGGCGAAGATCTTTGCACATTACCTCCTTTCATATCCCAGATTCTGCACTTAGTCTATTGAACGGTTTTATTTTTTTGTTTTGATGGCGCGAAGGTGAAAACCACCAAAATGGCAAATTTCCTACTGGTGCAAACATTTGGCTTTTGCATGGTAAAAACCATGATTTTGACAATACTTCTAAGGGAGTGATAGTGCAACGGCTAATTTTAGTTTTTGGTTTACAAGCGTCACCAACAGCTTTGAGAAAATGGACCGAGCCCAACCATTTCCCCTCCGTACCAAATTTCGTTTACAACAGGGCAGATGGGGCTATAACCTCGCATTTCGTCTCACCCTCTGCCCCCTTCTCACCGTCATGGTTATGTGTTTTCAGCTTTTTTTCCTCTTAGAGAGGCGAGAGTTTGTCAATGTTAAATAATATAATAACCTGATTTCCACAAGCATTTTGATTGGTTCTTGATTATGATCTAGGGGAGGACAGACGCATAGACGACGTCCCCATCAACAACTTTTTGCTTTTTAGTTATATAAAACAAAAAAATTCCATGTGACCGTGCGTCTGTTCAGTATCACAAAAGATCAAAAGATTTAAAAATGTGGTAAGACCATCAGTGACACTGGAAAAATTGATCAGTTTACATGCACATGTAAAATTCTATTCTAACATGTAAATAGCACGTAAATCAACTACAGATCACTGTAAATGACATTTTACAGGGATAATGCCCTTTTACAGGATGTTAAAAGTTACTGTAAATAAGGTGTAAATATTAGGAGCAGAACATGTAAAAAATGGAGACAATCCAATAAAATGTAAAGGTTCTAAAAGCAAGATCATGTAAATATACCGTAAATATTGTTACAAATTCTGTAAATAACATGTAAATCAAATAGGATAGTTTACTACGACCAGGTAAATATCATGTAAAATCCCTGTAAATAGAAAAGAGAAGGAATCATTTCACACTGTAAAAACACTGAAAATCGAAAAAGGGAGACTGATTTCACCCTGCAAAAACACTGAAAATCGAAAAAGGGAGACTGATTTCACCCTATAGAAACCGTGTCAATCGAAAAAGAGTGACCAATTTGACCCTGTAATAACCTTGTAAATCAAAAAAGGGAGACTCATTTGACCCTGTAATAACATTGTAAATCGAAAAAGGGAGGCCTATTTGACCCTGTAAAAACCTAATTGTAAAGCGAAAAAGGACAGATCCTTGGGGTACGCCGCAATTGATATTTAGTTTACTAGATATATGAGAGCCAATTTCAGTAGTTTGTGTGCGATTTGATAAATAA